AAAAGGTATGGAGACTGTGATTATTATTTTTTTTTTTTTCTTAAATTATTGATGTTCTATACATAGTTTGCTACGTGTTGCTGTATTTTGTTCATGGACTACAAATGATGGAAGCTCTTGGAGCAATAGCTGCTGAGCCTGGGGAAGTGCCTGACTGTAATTTGTTCTTTTCTTTGATTATTTGGTTTGAATTTGAGCTTTGCTTTTCTTTCGAGTGCTCACCCCCAGCCCCACATCCTCCCCCTCCCCACACGCCACAAGGCTCCATTTGCAGAGAGCAAACTTAGGTCTTGCTGAGCAGAGAGTGGTGGGGGACATGGAGCAGCTTCCGCGGGCAGCGGAGTTGTGGCATTTCACCATCACGCTCGGGCTGGATGGGGACCCTCTGGGCTCGTGCCACCCTCCAGTTCTTTTCTTGCTGCTAGTAGCAAACAAGCCTTGGTTGTTGTTCTGTGCCAGTGTGTTGTATTGACTTGGTAAGAATTCCTTGGTCCTCTCCAGCTTGTAGGTTCATAGGGAAGGACCAGAGTTGGTTCGTGACCAACTTTGGGATGGAGGGAGGATTCTTACTTGAAAAGCTTGAGGATGGAGGGAGGAGCAGTTCTCCCTCTCCTCTTTCTGCATTCCCCAGAGGCACACGCTGCTGGGTTTCTCTTGGGAGGAGTAGGGATCCTCTTTGGAAGACTTGCCCACAAACTTGCTGTGTTGCAGCGTGGTGGCTGGAGCAGCCGGCGCTGTGGGAGCAGGGAGCTCTGCTGTGCAGGTGGAAGGTAGAGCAGCAGCAGTGGTGGGTTCTCGATGCCAGATGGAACTCCACTAAGCAGAAGGATGTGAAGCCTTTGCACATTGGAGAGCTGAGGCAAGTGAACAGACGTGCTGCAGAGCTGCTGCCGGCCTGGAAAGCAACTGCAGAGGCAAGGAGCAGGGATAGGAAGCAGGGAAACCTGACCCACCGCTGGCTGTGTGTTGTTTAGCATCATTAATGCTTCTCTTTCAATTCCAACCAGTAGCATCGGGTCCAAATTCTCTGGCTCAAGCAGGTTGCCCCCTTGAAGGCCTGAAGGTGAAGACAGGAGCTGCACTGCTGAAGGGGGCTGTTGATATTTTGTCTCTTTTGTAGACAGAGCACTACATCAGTGTTTTGCACAACATGTAAGAGTCAATCTTAACTGTCTGAGATGCTTTGATCTAGAACACTACAGTAGGGAGGGACAGCCTTGTGTTTCGAGGTCCCTCTTGGGAGGGAAGCCTCTGATGTGTCAGAGCACTACAGGAGAAAGAGAGCTCTGCTCAGAGCCATGAGAGAGCTCGAGGTGGAGCAGTAGCCATGGGACCAACAGTTGAAGAGCCAGTGTGGCTGAGCAGTGATGCTGGGAGAGCACAGCATCTCTTCCGAGTAGCCACGCTCTGGCCTGCATGGAACACTTGGGAGGAAGGAGAGGGATTCCCATGTGTCAGACAGCTTTGCATCAATTTTACTGCTTGGTTTTCTTTTTGTCTTTATGCCAAAATGATCCATTTTGTAGAAACTGTCCTATAAAGAGGAATTTATAATCATCCGGGTGTATTCTAAGTGCTGCTCAGCCGAAGCAGATGGCAGCAGCAGCCTCTTCTGTGATCCTTTTGGAAATGGTTCACACTACAACTATTGCCAGCACAAACCTGGCGCTGAGATACACAGGTTCTTGGGAATAACTTCCCAGAAGTTCTTTTCCAAGGTGAATGATGGTGGTACTTCCACTTGAATCAGAAACTCCTTGGGTTTGTATCCTCCCCTTCTTGAAGAGCTGCTGCCCTGGCACAGGAGGAGGGATTTTGGCTTCTGTCTCTCGCAGAGGGACTCTGTGTTGTGTGGGAGCAGTTGAGGCCGTGGGCACAAGGAGTTAGGGGGGTGAGTACTGTGCTGAGCAACTCCTTGGTGTAGCTGTTGGCCTGGTGACTGCCTTGGCGTGGTGGTTACTGCAGAGGGAAGGGGAGAACGTTCCGTGCTGGCTCTTAGGAGTTCTGAACCCTCATTTGGAATTAGGCAGGGAATGGGTCGGACTCATCCGTGTGATCCAGAGTTGTCCATGGGCTGTGTTCCATGTGAGAAGATCCCAGTGTTGGCACGTGCTTGTCTGAGCACGAGGGAGCTCGTGTGCCTCCGGCTTGGCCAGCGCCGCGTTGCTGCAGCGCTGGTTCGCATCTCTCTTGGCTGGTCCTTTGGCAAAGACCTGCCCCAGCAAAAGTGCCAAACCCGAAACCAAATTTGCCTCTTATCCCCTTTTTCCGTAAGTGAGGCCAGTTGGAATGTTCCGCAGGTTGAGACCTTCAGGAAAGAGGTGGAATTGGGTTCTTGGGGATAACCTCTCGCATCTTGAGCCCGCGGACGCGGTCTCTGGGCCAACCTCTGCTCTTTGTTAGCTGAAGAAACCAACTTTGAACCAGTTGGAAACTTGAGGCGAGGAGCATCCCACTTTCCTTCTGCCATTCCAGATGGATTGGAGCAACAGCCCCTTCCCGCTTCAGCGTGTCACATAGCTCCTGCCCCTCTCCCCTCTCTCGGAGGTGGATTCCTTGGTCTCTTGTTGTTGCTTCCTCGCAGTGTCGGCCTTGCCTTCCACTATGGGTTTTCTTCATGTGTTTTCTTGGTTTAAAAAAAAAA